CATTGTCGGCCCATGTTCATCTTGGAGTCAATGATGACTCCAAGATCCCTTTCTGCCTCCGTGCTCTCAAGAAGGGAGTTTCCCATCTTATAAGTGTGCTGCTGTTTACTACTGCCCAAGTGCAGCACCCTGCACTTGTCAGTATTGAAATGCATCCTGTTTTTGCTAGCCCACCCCTGAAACCTATCCAGGTCTTGCTGCAGTCTTTCCCTCCCTACTAGTGTAATCACCTCACCCCAGATTTTGGTATCATCAGCAAATTTAAACAGGTTGCTTTTCACCCCGTTGTCCAAATCGCTGATAAATTGAACAGTGCGGGCCCAAGGACCGAGCCCTGGGGGACTCTGCTGCCCACTTCCCCCCAGGTTGAATATGACCCACCCACCACCACCCTCTGAGTGTGACCCTTCAGCCAATTAGCAATCCATCTGACCGTGTAGGCATCGATGCCACGGTCACCTAGTTTTTTAATGAGGATGAGGTGGTCGACAGTGTCAAAGGCCTTGCTGAAGTCCAGAAAGACTAAATCCTTGGCGACACCTGCATCCAGTGCTTTTATGACCTGATTGTAAAAGGCAATCAGGTTGGTCTGACATGACCTGCCCCTAATGAAACCGTGCTGGTTGCCCTTGAGCATCATCCCCGATGCCAGCCCATCACAGATGTGCTCCTTGATGATCTTCTCAAAGAGTTTCCCCAGATTGAGGTAAGACTGACGGGCCTATAGTTGCTCGGGTCCTCCCTCCTCCCTTTCTTAAAGATGGGGACCACATTGGCTATCTTCCAATCATCTGGCACCTTGCCCGAGCACGAGCGCTCGTAAAGCTGTGCCAAGTCAAACAGCAGCTCTAACTCGATTTAATATTTTTTGAGATCAGTACGTTTTCTGGCAAAACTAGATATGAGATGGTATTCTTGACCTTTCAAAAGCAACAGGAATAAGAGGTTAACCATATCACTGGAAATGGAAAGTAATAGTTGGAGATGGAAGCCAAGAAAAAAGTGTGAGGAAGATGTAATTTAAGTTTATGAAAAGGATTATGAGATGTTGACTCTAACTGCAGGCAAATGACATTTTTTGTATTCAGGCAAAATCAGGGAAGGGGACAGAAGTAATGACATATTATTATATGTGCTATGAGAAATGATGGTGTAGAATAAAACGAAGTCCCACACAGAATTTGCAAGAATAAATGCAGAATGGAAGGCAGATTGGGAGCCTGGATGTGTGTGCTGCACTGTGAACTTTTCCAAGCTAAGACGTGGTACAGGAGCAGACACAGTGGACCATCACACTTTTATTTGCTTTTTCTTTGTCATTCCCATGTGACTCCACTTTTAGACAGGACAAACAAAAACAGGAATTCCCAAAGATTAAATTTTTGTGCCTACTGTTTTCGTCATTAAAGTGGGATTCTGGAGTAGCCTTCTAATTGAATGGGAGAATCTGACTACATTTAAGATGGAGCTTGTGAAGTTCAGAGTATGATTCTCTACATAGCTGATTGCACTTGTCTTTGCACATCAGCCATCACCTTTGCCTAATTTTAAGACTCTCAAATATATTGTTCAACCCTTTTATGCCAGCCTACTCTATAGTTGTATTATTGTTAATGCAACTTGTATGCGCTTGATAGTGTACTCTGGACAAGCCAAGTTTTTAAAAGTTCTGGCATTGTGCATTACTGTTATTAACTTTTAGATAGTAGTTAGAGCTGATAGGTAAAGTGAGCCAGAAATATCATCATGTCTTATTAAAACATTGTTAACTTAAAGGATATTGCAACAGCAGTAGCATCTTTGGACCTTTCAATATTAAACTTTCTGTCCCACTAACAGGTGGTAATCTGAGGAACCAGATTTTCTTTTAAGTATAATTATGATTTTTTACTCTGGTGAGCAGGGCTGTCACCTTTGTGTACTGTCACTGCAGTGCTAAGACCAGCGCACTATAAGTCAAACAAAGTTTTTTGTTTAAAAGTGTTGTCGACTCTGCCCCTTGCTCCAGATCTTAAATTATGCTCTTTCCTCAGTCCTTTGATATAGTCCTGAATTGAGATGCACCCAATCTGGTAAATGACTACTTCCAGTAGTTCAGATGCAGTTAGGTCAGAAGTGAGGAGGGTGGACTTTGTCACCTCCATGGAGAAATATCTTTCTTGTTAAAGAGTAAACTCTATGCACCAGTTTTCAAGCAGGCCATGACAAATGGCTGTTACTCTTTTTACAATTTTCTTGGGCCTGCCAGAAACACTTTCTACCTCTGTAACAAGACATTGTTTCAGGAAGTCTGAAATAGTGGACTAAATAAATGTAAACAATGAGCCTGCAAAGCTTGATTATTTTGCTGTGTATTGACACAGGGCAAAATTGCAGCTAAAACGCTATAACTATTGTGAATATTTGACACTTCTGTTACTAAAAGTTTAAGAATGAGTAGCAGAATTCGCTATGATAAAGGACATCCTAATTTTGTCTATATCCAGAATAGGTAGTAATGCATTATTTGCTCCACTGCTGATTTCATGAACAAAATATTATTTTTTTTATTATTACTATGGTGCTGTTATTTATTACTGAATATTTATTCTTCTCTTCCATCAAACACATGCTGGAGGACAGTCAGAGATTCTAAATAGGAAGTCATTTTCATCTGATATTTAAGCACCCATAGTGAGCTTATTACTGAATGAGAAGACTGTCTTTGCCCCAAGGAGTTGGCATGCTAAAATAGTAATGATAAAGTTATGTATCAGTATTGCATTTTTTTCTCCATTTTGCTTTAAGCTTTACTTTTTATGAAGGCATATGCTGTGGGCTTACTGTTCCAAGAAATTAATTTAACTAGTTTTCTAATGCCACATTATAAAGCGCGTGCACGCTCTCGTGGTTTCTCTCATCTAAAAACCCTTTACTTGATTTAGATGCGGATGGCAGTGAAGATTCCACGCCCCCACTACCAGAAAGAACACCAGAGTCATTTGTCCTAGCAAATGAACAGAGTAAGTTTCTTCTTTTACACTGTGATTTTTAACCAGAATAAATCCATTCCATGTCTAATGCTGCTTTTTGTTTACACTGTAATGTCTCTAGTGGGTTATGGAATAGAGAAAATCCCACACAACTTATTGATTCGTTTGATGCACTGGCTGGGGGAGTATTTAGTTGATTGCACGATTTCACAATGATTGCACACTTAATTCATACAACACACTTTTATTTTAAAATTCTTTGCTTCGCATATAACACTGCTTAGCTTTAAGAAATACCACAAACATTAAGAACACAATAACGACATATATCAGAAACAATGCTCCAAATGCACTTCTTTCTCAAACAATGTTATAAGAATTAGTATTACAAAAACAACTACAATTACAACTCAAAGTTAAATTTGAATCAATACTATTATTTTTCATAATATACTTACAATCCTAGAATTCCGAGAAGTCAAACACCTAGATATGCTTTCATTCCTCAGTAGTACAATTTAATGGGTTGGCCTCAGTAGTACGGTTCAATGGGCTCGCCTCAGCAATACGATTCAATGGGCTGGCCTCGATACTGATAGGACTAAGTCCCCTTCCTTCAGTCCCTTTCGGGTGCTTCGCGGCTTCAGCATGAACCAAGAGATTCGTGTTCACGGAGAGGGTGGTTCAGGTGATCAGTCTGATCCGGCCTACACTTGCAATTCTTCCTTCGTTGTTCTGCAAGTGAGGTTACCTCCAAACTGGGACGGTAGGTTACAGTTTTTATTGAGTGAGTTGCCGTCTTGGGCCCCTCCTACCCAAACCTGTCACTACTCCCAAATTTGGGCTCAGATCTTTCTTAACAGATTTCTGCTGGGTTCATTTTCTTTTCTTGACCATTTTAATTACTTTGGGGAATTTCCACACCACTGCAGTGACCTTTCTTTCCAATTTTTTCAAAGGCCCTAGGGTTTGATCTCTCGGGATGTTTGCTTAAGGGTCATTTTTAGGTTAACTTTGTTAAAGGCCTCCTAAAGATAAAATTCAAGAGTTAAGACTTTGAGCAAAGTCAGGACCTTCCGCACGTAGGCCAAAACAATGGCCTAGATAAGAAGATGAATCTTCCGTCTTCTTCCTGAACTGGCTAATGGGCAACTATTACAAACATTCAAACTATTATATTTAATATGACGTGTAAAAGAACTAAGAAGCAAATTTTAAGCTATAGTACTAAATGAAATCTAAAGTTTAGTCCTCAACAGTGTTTAGTGTTAGATATATTGAGAAGCTCTGTTTTAATTTGATGACTATTTTGGTAATGCTTTGGTATTTGTGCAAGACCTTGGGACACTTAAAAACACTGAGAATTAAGTTTATGACCTGTTCAAGAGTTCCTTCCTGAAAAGGAAAAAAAAGAGATGCAAGGTATCTGAAATGTGTTGACATGAATTGCCTTATTCTCTGTTATACAGTGACGGATGTATTTTGAACGTTTAAAGCAGTGAACAATGTAAATTATGCTGCTTGCTTTCTAAGGCAGTTTGTCTCTGTATTCCTGATGACTGAAGGATTTGATTTTTCTTAAGACACAGATACTGACTTCTTAATGTGTTAGAACGGAGTAGATCTTCCACCTAGCACAGGGTGTGGAGACTGGCTACATTACTCTCCTGGTTACCTGATGTTTATCTGGCTGCTTCAATAGCTTCTGTGTAGTCCCCAGGGCAGTAAGTAGAAATGAGTGAAAATATTTCTCAGCCCCAATTAAAGAGTATTGACCTCCATGAGCGGCCTTCTTTCAAGATGGTTATCGGCTACCATTCTCTCTGGATTTAGAACAACAACTGTTGGTAGTCACCTTGAGAAGACTATTTCCTATTGGTCTCAATGTTAAGTGATAGTCTTTCCCTCTTGACAGCACAGGACACTATCATCTTGAAGACACAGAATCATAGAAAAGTAGGGATGAATGGATCTCACGAGGTTATTTAGTCCAACCCTCTTGCTCAAGGCAGCACCATCTCTGACTCGCCCATCTCTGACAGCTGTTTGTCTAAACTGCTTTTAAACTTCCAAGGATTGAGATTCTGCAACCTATCTGGGTAACCTGTTCCAGTATATAACCCATCTCATAAATGAGGGAGTTTTCCCTAATGTCCAGTGTAAATTTCCATTGCTGCACTTTGGGACCACTTCTCCTTGTCCTGTCCCCGGTGGCCATAGAAATAGTTTATCTCCATTCTTCATAAAACCATCCTTCAGGTATTTTGAGGACGGTTCTCCAATCCCTTTCCTCCTTCTTCTCTAGATAAAATAATCTGAGTTGTTTCAGTCTTTCCTCATAAGTTGCATTTCCCAGTCCTGTAATATTTTTTGTTGCTTTCTGCTGGACTGGTTCCAATCTGCTCATGTCTTGAAGTTCAAAACTAGGCCTAGTACATTGAGTGAAGCCTCAAACCCATGCTTAACAGAGTGGAAAAATTACCTCCCTTGACTTACAAGTGACACTCTCGTTAATACAGTGTAGTTTACTTTGGCTTATTTTCCAACAAGAGTGCACTGTTGGTTTATATTTGGCTTATAGTCCACAGTAAACCTCAGGTCCTTTTCTGTAGTACTTGGAGCCTAGCCAGTCATTCCCCAGTTGTAACTGTGCGTGCAGTTGTTCCATCCTATGTGTACAGCTTTACACTTATCCCTTTTGAATTTTGTTTGATTTCAGACCATTTCTTCAGTTTTATCAGGGTCATTCTGAAACCTAATCCTACCTCCCAAATAACTTGGTGTTATTTACAAATTTGTTCAGTATACGCTCGTTCCCATCCTTCAAATTGTTAATGAAGAGATTAAACAATATTGGATCCAGGACAGACCCACAAGAGCCCCACTTGATACCGCCTTCCAACTGATCCTCTTCATTTCTTCATTGAGAACAGTTGGAAGAGGCGGCAAAATATTATTTTTTTTTTCTAAAAATATTTTCTGAAGATGCAGCAGCCTCAGATAAGCTTTGTTATGGGAAAAATGACCATTAATTTTAATTTTTTTCTTAAGAAGTTACCTGCTTCAGCAGTTTTGTTCAAGAGAACAAAGAGAAGCATATGCTAGGAAATGCATGGGAAAATTAGGTAACTGTGTGCAGACAGGAAGAAAATGTGCGCTCCTGGATGCTTGGAGCAGTCTCAGAGAGGGTTAGGGCAGGCAGAGCATACTGATTAATTTGATATTAAAAAGTTAGCAAACAAAATCAAAGTTTATTCTTCTTAAGATTATTCATAGTTTCATAGTTGATAGGGTCTGAAGGGACCTGAGCAGATCATCAAGTCCGACCCCCTGCCGTGGCAGGAAAGAGTACTGGGGTCAAACGACCCCATTAAGGTGCTCGTCTAACTTCCTCTTAAAGACCCCCAGGGTAGGAGCCAGCACTACTTCCCTTGGAAGTTGGTTCCAGATCCTAGCCGCCCTGACTGTGAAGTAGTGCCTCCTGATGTCTAGCCTGAATCTACCTTCTGCCAGCTTGTGACCGTTATTTCTAGTCACTCCTGGTAGTGCTCTGGGGAACAGGGACTCCCCCAATGCCTGCTGGTCCCCTCTGACTAGTTTGTAACAGACCACTAGATCCCACCTCAACCTTCTCTTGTGGAGGCTGAACAGGTTCAGGTCCCTTAGCCTCTCCTCGTAGGGCCTGCCCTGCTGGCCCCTGATCATGCAGGTGGCCCTCCTCTGGACCTTCTCCAGGTTGTCCACATCCCTCCTGAAGTGTGGTGGCCAGAACTGGATGCAGTAATCCCAACTGCAGGCTGACCAGTGCTGCATAGAGGGGGAGGATCACTTCCTTAGACTTGCTCAAGATGCATCTGTGGATGCATGACAGGGTGCGGTTGGCCTTCCTGACCATGTCCCCACACTGCCAGCCCATGCTCATTTTGGCATCAGTAATGATTCCAAGATCCTTTTCTGCCTCTGCACTGACGAGAAGGGAGTCCCCCAGCCTGTAGGTATGCTGCTGGTTCTTCCTCCCCAGGTGCAGTACCTTGCACTTGTCAGTGTTGAAGCCTGTCCTGTTCTCATCCACCCACCCCTGTAACCTGTCTAGGTCCAATTGCAGCCTATTCCTCCCTTCTAGTGTGCCCACATCCCCCCACATTTTAATGTCATCAGCAAATTTGAATACGGTGCTTTTTACCCCCTCGTCCAAGTCACTGATGAAGATGTTGAACAGTGTGGGTCCGAGGACTGAGCCCTGGGGGACCCCAGTGCCCACATCCCTCCAGGTCGAAAATGACCCATCCACCACCACTTTGTGGGCACGGTCCTCCAGCCAGTTAGCGACCCATTTGACTGTGTAGGTGTCGATACCAAAGTCCCCAAGTTTTTCAATGAGATTGGGGTGAGAGACAGTGTTGAAGGCCTTCCTAAAGTCCAGAAAGACTATGTCCACCACGACACCTGCGTCCAAGGATTTTGTGACCTTGTCATAGAAGGCCCCCAGGTTGGTCTGACAGGACCTGCCTCTAATGAACCCATGTTGGTTGTCCCTAAGCATAATCTCTCCTGCTGGCGCATGTCCACGTGGACATGCGCCAGGATAATTCTCTCAAAAAGCTTACCCAGGATCGAGGTAAGACTAACTGGCCTATAGTTTCCTGGGTCCTCTTTCCTCCCCTTTCTGAAAATGGGGACCACATTGGCCCTTTTCCAGTCATCTGGCACCACACCAGATCACCATGAGTGCTCGTAAAGCCATGCCAGGGGTCCCGCAATGACCTCTGCCAATTCCCTCAGCACTCTGGGGTGGAGATCGTCAGGACCAGCTGATTTAAATACGTCCAGTCCCTCCAGAAGTTCCCTGACTAGATCCTCACTGACCCTGGGCGCGCCTCCCCTGGGGCCTGGGGGGTCCCAGCAGACAGGCTGATCCAGTCCCTGCTCAGGAAAATGGAGGCAAAAAATTGTTAAATAGGTTAGCTTTGTTGTCTGGTGTGATGACCATATTTCCTAATGTGTCTTGCAGAGGCCCCACATTACCTGGTACCTTCTTTTTGCCCCTTATGTATTTAAAAAAGGACTTCTTGTTGTCCTTGATCCAGGTAGCTAGTCCCAGTTCCATCTCTGCCTTGGCCTTCCTGACTGACCCCCTGCAGCCCTGAGCAACCAAGGTATAGTCCTCCCTGGTGATGGCCCCTCCCTTTTAGCTAGGAGACACTGCATGCAAATATTGCTGGAATTTATTTAATGCCAATATATAAAACATTTAAAAAGGAAGCTTCCAGACAAAATAGGCACTTACCTTAAATCTATTGGTTTCTTAAGGTAAAAACACTACAGGGCTATTGTCATTATGCCAGCATCATACATTATATAAATCACATGGATATAAACTTCTGCAAAAAATTGAAGTTAGCGTATTACGTTTTTAAATATTCATCTGAAAATGAACATTCTCACATAGGAATTAGAATCATAGACTTGGAAGGGACCTGAGAAGTTGCCTGATGAAAACCCTAAGATGCAAGAAATTCCTAACTACCAACATTCATCTCCTATTAAAGTTGCCATTTTGATGAAGTCCACAATTTGTAGTTCTTAGTACTTTAGAATCTTGAACAAAATATTGACTAAATATATATCGAGTGCTGTCTGTTATAAAGCTGTGTTGGAAGAAAAAAACTGTATCTCTAATGCATCGTCATACCAATGAACAATGGTGAAGAAAACTCACGAAACTGCCACTTATCGGAAGTACATTTTTGAATTTAAGATTTCTGTTTTTCTTAGACACGTCTTTGCCCATGCCAGTTACACTTGCACAATCTGCTGATTGGAATATACTGCATGATCCACATCTCTCTGAACAAACAGTATCTTCAGTAGGTATTGTAACAAACCCATGCTAATTTTTGTTCTAAACCTAGTCTTTTGAACCTACAACCAAAAAGTAAAATGTAATAACGATCTGTAATTATTGATTAGTTGCAACTGACCACATAACTTACCCCTTTGCTTAACTTTCCTTAACCTTCTACATCTGAACAACTTTTATCCCCAGTTGTACTGAATTGTTAATTCCAGTGTTCAGTATTTTTGCCACTCATGCTTCAGGTGGTGAAAGAGAGCTGGAGTGGCTAATCTGTGGAGGAGATCAGGGAGGGGGACGGGAATTAGAAAGCAGAGCAGAAGACTGGGCAGGGAGTGCTGGGCAGGAAGCAGAAAGCAGAGTAGTACATCTAGTGGGGATCATAGGGCAGGAAGCAAAAAACATCAGATCAGGTTCGGGAAGGGGAAGAGTTTCACTTGGGCAGGGTACAGGGCTAATGTCTGGCACACCTGGCAAAAAAGTTGGCCCCCACTGGACTGGAGCCTTTCCAGATGCATCGTCTGGAGTGCAAATGAAAGTGAAAGAAATGGAACAGTTTATGCAAATAATTAAATGCTGGGCATACATGAACTATTTTTCTCTTGCCTTTCATGCTGCAGTGCTAGAAACAACCACATTTTCCATTGATTAAAAGTAGTTGGCAATCTTTTTTCCTGTAGAAAAATACATGTTAAAGGCAAACTACAACAGAGAGAGAACTTAGGAGTAGGGACTGTGCTGTATATAAGAAAGAAAAATATAAAAATACGATGATTTTACCATTATATTATTCAAAATGTAAGGTGGGAGCATTCTTGGCCCTTATTAGAATTCAGTCAAATGATTTTAGCTAAAAAGGAATTAACAAACACTTATCTGCTTTTTTCTTATCCTCAGGCTTATTGGTTTCAACATGAATCTTTCAATGATGTACATAGGAAGTAATTTTTTGTTCAAGTTCTTATTAGAGCTTTCCAAAAGTATTTGGCTTTTTTCTTGAACATCTCAAATATACTTCCTATACTTCGTAGCATTCTAACAACATATTAAAATACAATATTTCATCTTAACAGGGCTTGAGACCAGCTGGGCATGTAAAACTTGGTAAGTGATAAATTTTAAAACATAAACCTTTCAATTAAAAACTTGTTAATTTAGTGTGTGTGCGCGTGCACATTTCAGGAGCTCTGAGGGGCCTAATATTAGGACTTATCCATTCAGTAGTTAATAGGAAGTTAGAACTCTTGGAATATTTGTTTATTAAACTTTCCTAAAAAGCAAAGATGAGAAACTAATAAAGTAGTTAGTTAGCTATTTTTCAGCTAATTGGGCAGTTAGTTTGAGACTGGATCATAAATTGGTTACCTAACCATAAGGAAACCAACCACTAGAAAACAGGTTAAAGCTATCTCTCTCTTTGTCTAAAAAATCCTTTATTTAGATCCATAATTGGTTGCTTAATTTGCTTTTTTGACACAGGATGTTTTAATGTCAAAACAGTATTTAACAGAGGTGCGACCTAGGAATTTTAGTGCTCAGGGCAGGAGGAGGGAGTACTGAGTGTTGGGCAGGGGGTAAGGGGAGAAGATGTTGAGCACTTCAGAGGCTGTTGCAGAGGAGTAGGCTGTTGTTGTCATGGCACAAGCTCCCCAAACATGGGGTGCTGTTGCCACAGCACAGGCACTGGTGGAAATAGTGTGGTTGTCCTGGGTGCTACTATTGTGGCAATTGGTGCCTGGGCCTGGTAGCCAACTACAGAATATGTACAGGTTTTCAAAATAGTAATGTATCTGCAAAGATTAGTTTTGAGCTTAATTTTCTAGTGTTCTGTGTGATGTCAGTAAAGTTTCAGACACTGAATCTGGTCTAGAAATGTCTAATTTTGTCTTAAAAAAATGTCTAAAAAATGGATGATAGCTCTGTTAATAGCTGTTAAACAGAATAACCAGGGATGCACGCTGTGGCATCTCTAAACTAATAATGGCAGATGCTAGGGAGACTAGGAGGGGACAGATGGTTCTGAGTATACCCTATTAATATAGCTGTTCTCTAAGTTATCCACTCCTGCCACTGTCGGAGACAGGATACTGGGCTAGATGTATCGGTGGTCTGACCCAGTATAATATTTCTTACGTTCTCAGTTTTAAAAGTAATGTAAATTTTTTTTGCCTTTTTATCTATTGTTGGCATGATAAAATGATTAAGGCTGCTGTAGCTTTTGAATTCTAACCAAAATTTTGATATAAAATGGAAAGTGTCAACCAGTTAATTTGATATCTTTCATGTTGTTGTCAGTTTAATCCCTGTAATACAAGTTATAAAAATTGAATAATTCCTTTTTGTTAACTTCATGACAGTTGTCTCACTAATATCATCAGCAGTTTGACAGAATATATAATGTGTATTTTTTTTATCACATGTACATCTGATTCTTAGTTTTTTTGAGTCTACCATAATTTGTAGCGTCTTCAGCCTGTGCAGCAATACTTTTGTTTACAAAAACTCAGTTGTAGCTTTATATAGTGTACAACTAAACTTGCAGGGATTTTTTTAACCCTATATAGTGTAACAATGTGAGAATTTTAATGTTTAGATATCTCTCTCTCTTAGTTGGACAATGAAAACAAGTGCAGCTAACTTCACTTTGTTCCCAGTGCTGCAGCATTTGGGTTGCGAGTGCTTCTCCAAGTGTGTTTAAAAAAAAATCTAATAGGGTGGTGTTTTTGTTAGTCTTGGGGGTTTGCAAAAGCTTCATTTTCTGCAAATGTAAAATTTCTGCCATGTTTGACTTGGAAACAGCAAAACCCACAAAATTAGTATAATAAATGAAAAAAAATTGTTTTCCAGATCTTCCAGAAATGGGCAACAAAACACCAACAGATATTATACCTCAGATTTCTCTTTCCAGTTCTACTGATATGAGAGGTCAAATTTCAGAAATTCCTGCAGAGATAACAGATATTGGTAATTGTGCAATTCATGCAAAATTGACCACTTTTTGGTACTTGTTTATTTAATGCAGTTATATGCCAACTACTTACTTTCTTCTTCAGTATATGCACATTCCATTTAGTAGCTTAACTGGGAATGTAAGTTTCCAAACTTGCACATTAAATGTCTTTAGGAAAATACAGGCTAGTTTATTTAAGTATAAAAATGTTAATATAAACTGTAGCAGCATTGGCAGGGGTTTTTTGGTATTGGTAGAGACCTGCTGAATTCAAGGCAGCTGCCTCATGATTTTGTGGGCAGAACACATGGTCCAGCAGCCATTTCTCTACCGGAGTGTGGCAGGCCCCTCATGCCTCTGGCCAAGGGGCCCCTGTGGCCCAACCCCGTGCTGCTGATTGGCTGCAAGAGCTGTCTGTCATATAGCCCTGACCTGTGCTGCTGATTGCTGGAGAGGCAGGGCCACATGACAGGTAGCCCTTGCAGCCAATCACTTCCATCAGCCCTTTGAGTGGGCAGCCTCCCTCCCCCAGTCTCTGCCCTGATGGGCTGCTGCAACACCCTGAAGACTGTTGACTCCCTCTGGGAAGCTGGCACTTTTCTTTTCCACAAGTTTTCTTCTTTTTTTTTTCCCCTCGCACATTTCGCTGGCAATGCCAGATTTTGTGCAATCCGTGAAATCACAATTTCAGTAGTTCCCTAGGTATTGCCTGAGCCAGTGAACTGCTAGTATGGATTTGACAAAAGTATTTTATCAGTTAGTGCTGGAAGCTGTAATTGAGTAGCTAAAGTCCAATTGGAAATGTGAATATTTTGTTAATTTCAGAAAATGGGTATACTTTAATGCATTTTTATTTCATTTTTAATGTTATTTTGACACTACTCACACAAAGGTTTTGATTTTCTCTGTTGAGTTATCCTGTGAATCTTTCATGTAGTAGAAATTACACAACGTATATATTTAATGATTGCATTGTATTTTCATGGTTCAATTATGAAAACTTGAGTAAGAATACTTAAATTATTTAGGCATGTGCAGGAGAAAACTAAGCAAATGATAAAAGGCTTATAAGTCTGCGTTATAGAGTTAGTACCTTTCAAATTTGGGTTTAAATAATGTGGTTAGTAACTGTGGTTTAGCAAGGTTGCAAGAGGTGAAAACAAAATGATTGCAGTATTGAGACTTATACCGTTATACAGAACTCCTAAGGATATCTTAATAGTAAGGATGCTATAATAGCATGAACAGTGTTTTTTGCCCACCTCCTCCCCAAAGTGCCTTACTGGTGTTTTTAGTTGACAGAAATATTGCATGTTTTATCTTTAGGCTTTGGGAACCGTTGCAGAAAACCAAGAGGACCAAGAGAGCCACCTTCAGAATGGACATGATGCAAGAACTATAATCCACATCCTTTAAATTATACTGGAATATTAAAGTGCCACTGAGAACTAGATAAATAGTATTCTATTTCTTATTCTGGGGGACTAACAGAGCAGTGTAGATTTAAATGCAGAATGGTACACTTTTTACTGTACATCCCACATAAAACCTTAAACATTTCTCAAAACAGTGGATTCCAGTATTACAACCTAACCTTGCTGGGGTCATCTACCTGCCTTATTACACTTAGGAAAAAGTATTACATAGGGTTTATTTTGTAACTTCAAGTATTATTGCCTTAATGTCTTTTAACCCTGTTACACGCTGCTTGTAGACATATGTTAATATAGTGATACTCTTGACAAACTGAGTTTATGGACTACTTTTTGCTAACATTTAATTACCATGTATGCATTATTTTGTATATGTATAGGGCAAGTAGGTAAATAATTTGATAAAGTTGCAATCATAAAATATTAACAGAAGATGTAAGAAATCTCTGCATGATCTAAATTTTTGTGTACCTTATTTGTAAATTATTTACCCTGAAGCTTTAGAAAATAGCTTCTGATTTAAAAAAATTCTGGACATGTAGCCAGAATTGCAGGTTAGCAGAGATAAAGATTGTAATACATTTTGTAAATTGTAAGCAAAAGGTTATTTTTATATTATATACTGTTTAATTGTCAAACCTAATTTGTTCTGGTTTTCATCTAGTCATGGAGATTCAGTAAGTGCCTTGGAACAATATTGAATTCTCTTAGCCTGTGTATGTTACCTTCAGTGTTTGAGTTCATCGGGGATTAGAAGACTATCAAAGTATCTGTATGTTTTTAGCATATTTGACCTACAAGTAAAAGAGAACTCGTTATAAGTAACCAACACTCCTTAGTTTTCATTTTACTATTTCATCACTTGCAGTCTTTAGACATGAATTTCCTACAGACTTTCTATTTGATAGTTGGTTTATTGTTACAATATAATATGGTGTGTATTTCTACTTTTGCAGACCTTTCAAGACGCACTGGAAAAGGGACTATTTGAGAGCCTCTGTCTTCTGTTGTACTCGTGAAAATAGTATTTTGATCATTCAGCAAGTGTGTATATATGAAAGAAACTTATTATATGATGATTCTTACAGAGCCCCTGCAGCTACACTGTATCTTGGCAATATACCATGCCAAGGATGAATCCTTTTAAGGATTCTCCCATTATGAACTTTGCCTCTGTAATAATGATAGAATCTTTAAATTAAAGCAACTCAAAAGTTCATTATGGGTTCAAGGAAACTGTATATTCATAAATAGAATAAACAGATTAGAATATGGGATTAGGGTCATGTTCAGGTTCTTTGTTTGGTAGATCTTCAGTGAGCCTTACTCCAGAAATTAAAATAACCCTTGTGGATACAGATTTTTGTTCCTATTAACAACATTGTATGTTCTACCTAGTTATAATGCAAAAAGTAAAGTTCAGCATAGTGATAAGGTAACAGAAGAAAACAGGTTTTTACAGTTTATTTGAAAGTTGGTAACAGTACTTTGTTCCTGAACATGTGTGCATCTAGACTCAAGATGGAAGGATCAGGTATAATCCACAGTGAAGGGACTGTAGGGCTCGTCTACAAAGAGAGGCTGATGCACCTACTATTAACTAAGTGTCTTTGTGCAGGATGGCTGTGGAGTGAACTGCCTTGCACTGGGCATGCCTACATGAGATGTTTACTACAAAGCTGACTAATAGCTCTGCAGTAAACGTCTCGGCATCTACATATACCTGTTAGGGCACAGGAAACTAATAAGCTCTGCTGCACGTTTTTTTCATGTGTATACGCTGACCTGGCTGGCTGGGACACAAGGGTGTTTCAGTGTCAGGGCTGCCTGCCAGTAAAGCACCCCTGTGTCCCAGCCAGCCTCTGCAGCACACTGAGCCCAGTCGGAGCAGCCCTGGGTCCTCTGGCAGCTGGGGTGGCTGCAGCCTGGCTCAACGTGCTATGGTCCAAGCACACATGTAAATGGTGTGCCTGGGAGCTTCCTGGGAGTGAAAAAAACTCTGGAGCAATAAGCTCCAACATTTATTGGTGAGCATTTAATGGCACATATAGATGTGCCCACTTAGTACTTATGAATAGTCGCCTTCAGTTTCTTCCTGATAGTCTAAGTCATGGTTTGGCAACCTATGGCCCACAGAGCCATTTGATCTGGCCTGGGACTTCAGCGGCAGTCACTCTACAAATGCTTGGAGGAAAAGTGCTGACTACAGCCACTCTCCTGATGTTGCCATGGTGGGGAAAGCACTGTTGGTGTCTGGGTCCTTTTGCCCACCAATCTGCTTCTGCTGCAAACTGGGTCAGTCCAGCCCACAGCCTTTATAGGTTGCCGATCACTGATCTGTGCATGTTTTTGGTCATGCATGTAGAATTTTTGGCGTTTACAGGTAGGAATTCTGTTCCTGGTTGCATTCTGTTCTAGCATGTACTTGACTGTGACCACGTGGTGGTGGAGGGTCTTTCTGCCTTCCCCCTGGGAAGCTGGAGACCTGGGTTCTAGGCTCGCCTTGACAAGAGGTGTTTGAACTTGGGTCTCCCTGACTTCCCAGCACAGTGCTAACTGTCATGTCACAGGTCAGGTAATATCCAGCACCTTCTCAGGCACTCCCTCTTGAAGCTGAGTCTGTCTCTTGTATTTCACAGGCACTGGAAAAAATGAGTGGAGTGCACTGAAGTTTCCACTTCATTAAGAACAAGGTTCAAGGCTAAAACCTAGTCCCCCACTCTTGGAGTTCAATGGCCACCTCACTGAGCTTCATACCCAGTGACTTGCTTTCTTTCTCCTCTCTTGTATCTCCCTCTTGTGGCTTCCCAGCTTCAAAAGGAGTGCCAAAAGAAGGCATTCCTCCTCACCTCCATACTCACTAATCATGCGTTTCAGCCTACATTTTTGGGCCTTAAATGCCATTACGGGTCCATAAGGGGCAGATGTGTGCATGTAGACATACATACATGGCCAGTGTGTAGTCTGTGACACATGCCCATAGTCATCAATTCACACAGGTGTACACAGCCAGGAATAGAATTCCTACCCACACACAAGTGCCAAAAATGTCATGTAGGTGAAGACATGGTAACAGAGTTGGGTTAGCTGATGGTGTCCGAGTGCCTGGCCAGCAACTCATTCTGGAATCTGCAGGAAAAAGCGAGGCTGCCCCTAAGTGTGCACCAGTGCAGATTGACTTAGGCTGTCTCCATTTTAGACCTGTTTATGGCTCACTTTGGGCGCACACAACAGCAGAGTGGTTTAGCAGCCTGCCCATTACCAATGGACAGTCCAATTGGTGGCATTTGTTAGAAACTGTTGCTAAAGAGGAGAGGCATTCCAAATGAGTAACTTAATTGCATCTTACAACTAAGCATCAATAGTAACCCCTTTTCAGTTAAAGTACTTTGCAGTGTATAGGTTGTAAATCTTCAAGGGTTTTTTTATAGTCTCTAGAGCAACATTTCATTTCACTTAGTACTGGATGGCAACATTTTTTATCTTCTGTCTTCCAAAGTGTCTGATAGTTTAAGTTGTAATACATTCAAGATACTTCATAATTCTAAAAGAAGCAGTGTCTTTTTTTTCTAGATTGGTGTTGGCCATAGGAAAGCTGAGAGCTTTCTACATTTTAGTAGTAATTTGAGATGTTACTAAGATGCTGAACTGTGAAATTGAAAAAGTCTTGTTTGTATTTACCTTTGCACTCTTATTGTCAAAAATTCTATAATTTGCACTCACAATTGTCTGCTGTATTTATTGGAGTTTTTATACTTTTTCATTTTCTGTAATCACTCAAGTAAACTGTCAGTTAAATGCAAGGCAAAACCTGCCAGTGGCATTACTTTCTGTGACCTTGGTCCTCTGTGGTGCAAGATGCCTATGCAGGATTGAGCCCTGCATCCTGTAATAGAAGTTCTGTATTTGTGATATTTTTGAAATATTGTTCTTATGTTGTTAACAAACCTAAGAACTCTTTCCTATTACAGCACCAGTAAAACCGGTATTGTTGCTTGTTTAGAAAATGTCATCACTCTAATGCAGAGGAAAAAAAGAGTGAGTAGAGGAATACTATTCCGACACATTCTAAAAATAAAAAAGTTTAGATCCCTTGAACTTGCTGAAACAGAAGGATTTGTTGCGTTTTTCTTAGATTTGGAAATTCTCTAAGTCACTACAGTCCTGTTCAACTCGATTTAATTCCGTTATGGCATATGACATTAGTAGCAATTGACACTGTCTCCAAAGTAAAATCAATGGTCTTTTCTTATACCATAGCTTTTGTTTTGGACAAAACCAACATAGTCGTTAACCACCTTCCATAACACTTTGGTCAAGCTGCTTATTTCAGTTAGGTTTTTGTCTTTTGTGTGATGGACTTAGCTTTTAAATTTCTCATCTGCACTACAGGTGGTTCCTTCTATTGATTGTCAAGTCAGAGAATTTACTGAAGCCTGACAAAAATACTTCATTTACAAAAAAAGAAAAAAAAATCAGGTATGCAGTGAGATGGATTATTCCCCCTACCCCCCAAATTTTACATATTCTTACTTTGTTTTTAAATCTTCCTCTCTTCCTTCTTGAGAGCAGTAACTGAAAAAAAAATTGCAGCACAATTTTAGTTTCTGAAGTCCAGTTTTCCTTGCTCATAATTTTTGGCCTGAATTGCAGTTCCTCTAATTTTGTTGTTCTGTGATCTAATAATGGTGTATTGCTATAGATACGCTGAAAATAATCAACAATATACTTTCTTACTATTGGTGTAAGGTTCTTTTGACATACGTGGAAGCTAGTAGACTCTGCTGCTGTATTTTTTGGTATATCTTTGGGCCATAGATTTTTCTACCTTAATGGTGTTTCCATGCAGGGTATTATAGGGCTTTTATTTTTTCACATTTCCTACTTGGGCCACTGTTTTAATCACTAAAACAAAATTTGGTTTCATCCTTGTTTCCACTTGTATTGAACCAAGTTTGGTTTCTGTATAGCTAAGCAGATTGCTGCCAGTTGTTATCAATAATAATTCTGTTTCTTGGCATGGACAAAGCTGAAGAGACTATAGTTCCCCATCCAGTAACAGCAGTGTCTGACTTCGATATACCCATTCTCTTTTTAAATGGCAGAGGGTTGCCTGGAAGGTGAATTTTACATCCATTTTTTGGTTCTGTCAGTCCTCAGTGCAGGGTCTCTTGTTTCTCCTAAGTCAGGGGTGTCAAACAGGGCCTGCAGGCCAGATCCTGGTGGCTAGTCAGACTACCAGTGGGTGACTGGAAGTTGGGGTGTGGGCAGCGGGCTGGCTGCAGAATATGAGACCCTTGGGATTTGGCAGACATGGTAATCGGTGACAGGAGGGTGAGCAAGGGCTGACGCAGCGCCAGTTGCTCTCTGACCACTTCACCCATTACTACCACCAAGCTCCTTGGCTTCTGGCCCCCCTGCTGAGCGTCTCAGGCTGGACCAGCATGCTCTGTGCCGGAGGCAAAGTTGCCACCCTGGCATGAAACACGTCACTGGAAGCAGCTCTGGCTAAATTTCTAACCTAAATTTCTAAGCTACCCCAGGCAATATTCCTTGTATCAATGTGTCAGTCTTATACTGAATTTGATACTAACAAAACTAAAAGTATTCTACATTACAGAAATGAGGAAAAAATGTAGTTCTGCTTAATCAGCCCCAGAACTACGTCTTGATTATTGGTCCTTATTAGATATGATTTTGGGCCTACTCTGTATAACAGCATTGTGAAAAAGTGCTTAACAAGTTCCCTCTTACCCTGTACATGTGTATAATTCTGTCCTATCTTTTTACTGATGGGTTGGAAGGCATCACTGGTGCCATGTGTTTATGATCACAAAGAAAGCATATAATTGCTAAATTGGGAGGAAGGGAGTAGTTTGATAAAATTATTGGAAGTGGGGGAATATGGTATGTACAGTGCATTATTTTTTCTTAAGATTTGAGTGAAGTCTTCCAGTTGCACATGTTCACGTGAATCTAAAAAAGCACCAGTAGCATACAGCCTTTCTTGATGACTTTTACTCCTATGGCAAGTGGTAAGAGTGTAACTTCAACCCATCAAAATAGATTTTAGAGGCCTCTGACAGAACCAAGCATCACTTTGTGTCTGCAGTGTGTTGCGTTGTACTGCCTCCAGAAGGTTACAGTGGAATTCTGAAATGTTTTGTCACTGCTTATAGCTGACTCAAATACTGCCAAACATACATACGTGAAGGAGGGGGCCAACAAATCTGGTGGCTTAAATAGTAGGTGTAGTAGGGATATCAGTAATTGGGGTAACTAGGTTAGCTACTAAACCTGTCTGTCCAGTGTAAATGAGAGAGACTGAGCCTGCTTGGGTTTTCAGACTAGGGTGTGACCAAGCTGCTGTTAATTTTTTTTCACCCCCAACTTGATTCCTTGAGTGTTCACTAATCTGACTCCAGAAACTTTAAAACTTAATTTTAAATTTTCCATGCTCTCGAGTACTTGCTGCTGTTAGGACACAGCTCCAGGATGTGCTGACTTTTTAAACTGAATGTACAGTCATTTAATCATCATGGGATTAAATGCATACATGTATCTACATGCATATTCAAAGTTGTAATTCCCACAGCAAACTAGACGTCACAACAGTGCCCTTACACAAGAAAGCACAGATGTCAATGCTGTGTTTAGTAACTCAAATTACATATCTCCTAAGAGGTAAAGTTAGTTGCTGTGGAAACAGTTTATCTAAAGGTTACTTAACATTTTAAGCACGTGCATCTGCAAAACATTTGTGGTTTTGAC